TTTTATAGGAGTGTTGATGTGAATCTGCATCAGTCATGAGCGGAGCTGCTGTGCACGCAGGCACTTTTACGGCCTAGAGGTGGAGAAATGCTCAGGCGAGCATAGGGGTCTGGCTACCAACAACCCTAAACCCTATGTGGGGCAAGTCTAGTCTACTCGAGGTGTAAGGTCAAGGGCTGTCTTTTGCACTAGGCGCGGATGGTTTTCTTGATTAAGGTCCCTTTCTCTCCCTCCCCAAAATAGTGCGGCACCCGTAATTACACAAAGAAGTTCTAAGAAGGGAGCCCTAATTTAGAGAACTACCCACGTGTTCTCAGGTCATACCTGGCCTCTGTGGTGTTTTTTGTGGGGGATGTAGCTTCCAGGACCCGTGTTGCAGAGCAGAGGCTCTCCATAACCGGCTCGAGAAGGCTTGAGTGCTAAAGGCCCGAAGAAAAAAAAAACATGAGGTCGGAGTAAACCTAGGGTTTAGGGTTTAGGGATAGTAAGGGGGTAGGGATTGGGGTTTCGGGATTAGGATTTAGGGATTCGTATTTTTCTTAGGAGTTTCCGGCGTGATCGTAATTGACGGAACTGGCCGTTCGAAAATCCTTAGTATCTGGAACCGCAGACGGCTTAGGGTTTAGGGTTTAGGGTTTGAGGCTTAGGGCTGGGTTTGGGGTTTAGGGCTTTGGGTTTAGGGTTTAGGGGTTTAGGGTTTAGGGGAAGCCCTCTTGGATGTTGAGCCTCTTGGTATAGTAAACCCCGAAAAATTGGACACCGGATGAAGGAGAATTAGTGCTGGGATTCCTTACATTACTCTTAAGGAATGAGGCTATTGGGTTTCCAACTCTTGGGCTTCTACTCCAAACCCTGCAGTCGACACCCTTGGATCCTTGCACACCCAGAAAAAGGAAAATTCCCTAAGCCCAGAAACCCTAAACTAGCTAGAGAGAGACCCCAAACCCTAAACCCGAAAGCCTAAACCCAAGCCCGCAACCCTAAGCCCAAACCCTAGGCCCTAAACCCAAAACCCGCTACATTTGGAATTGGATCAGGCTGCTATCCAGATGATGATACAGCCACTGGCACCCTGGCTCACCAAGGCCAGTGAGCTAGGAGTCTAGGAGGACGTTTGGGGCGGTTTAGGGTTTAGGGTTTAGGGTGTAGGGTGAGTAGGTAACCAAAGGGTCCTAGGTACTGTTGTGAGGGGGATACTTTCCCAAATCATAATAAGGATTCCTAATATGGAAACTCTACATTCTACTATATACTATATAGGTTCTTTGGACCCTTTGGGGTAATCTCTAATTTTTTGGTGCTTATATATCCTAGGTAGTGCTAGGGAGACCCCTGAAAGGGGACCCTTCTTAAACTCAATTGTAGCTCTCTGCAAAGGGACCTTACTGAGAGAGTCTATATCTCAAGGCCCCCCGCCCCGTAATCCTAACTCCTTATATAGTCCTAGCATGCTTGAAAAGCTTAACCTTTTTTTGGGGCTAGGGTACTCAGCCCCTGGGGAGAGAGTTTGGGGCTTCGGTTTCGGGTGTCGGTTTAGGATCTATCCTAAACTGCTGTATCCTAGTTGCTGCAGGTTCGTGCTTTGAAGCCTTAACATAGAATGTATAGGAGGGACTCTACCAGAAAGTAGAAATTGGGTAGTCCAAGTGAAAAGTCGATACAGTCCATATTGGGATTTATCTGAAAACTAGGTTATGATGGGTTAAGGGTACGTAGGATCGAGGGTCGAGAACCCACGATCGTGGGTTCAGGGTTTAGGGTTTAGGGGCGGAGTAGAACAGGTTATATAAGTCCCTAAACCCTGAACCCTAAACCCTGAACCCTAAACCCTAAACTCTAAACCCTAAGTTACAGCTCGAAGATGTTTGAAGCAATAAGGCGCCAACCTTTACAACTGTGGGATTCTGGCTGCAGTCCCTTTGCATCCGGCTTCTGTGAACGGGATGCTAGGAATGCTAGGATTCAAGGAGACTTCTGGGTTTCGTGCTTTTTAGGGTTTAGGGTTTAGGGTTTAGGGTTTAGGGTTTACGGTTTAGGGTTTAGGGTTTAGGTTCATTTGGCTTTAGGGCTTCAGGCTTAGGGTTTACGGTTTGGGGGGAACTAACCGCCCGATCCCAAAGCGACGTTCCCGAAAAACCTGAGCCCCTCAAACCTAAACACGTAAAGCAGCTGAACAACTTCGGGGTTTGTCGGTTTCTAGTGACTCGTGGGTCTTTTGGCATCTGCAAAATGTACAGTGTAGAGTTCCCTAAACCCTAAACCCTAGGGTTTAGTGCAGAGGAAGCCCTCTAAGCATTGTAATGCACGGGTTGGTTAAAATGTGCGGTGCGAATATCATATAGTTCTTACTGCTGTTTACATTCCTTAGGGCAGTAGTCATCGCTAATCATAACTTTATAGTATCAAATCTTGAGAAAAGCTACAAAAACTACTATACCTCAGGGCTCCTTGCCTTTAGCCCATAGTGCAGCATCGTACCCCTCTGTAAGCCCTAATCTCATCATATACAAGGTCTCCAATGTGGCAGATCCCCTATAGATCTCCTATAAACCCTTTAAAAAAAGGACTGGCAGAACCCTATCGTATGATTAAGGCCCATGCAACCATAGTGCTCTCTCCCCAACCCCCTAATCACCCGAAACCCTAACCCGATGATTACCCATAGAAGGCCATGAGTGGAGCTGACTTCCATTGGCTTTTCTTCGTGCACGGGCCTCTGATTCAAACCAGCTCAGGGACATAGGGTTTGGGTTTTAGGGCTTCGCAGGTCCTGTCCCTGTGGCCTTGCAATGTATGCTTCTCCCTAAACTTGGGCAGGGCAGGGCAGGGCACGGCAGGGGGTTTGCAAGAGGCGGGTCCCACTCCTCCCTTCTAAGTAGGTCTCCTGAAGAGCAAGCTTTCATGAAATTCGAATGCTTGCTCTTACCACGGGGCTTTCAATCGGTGGTGTTGCATGTGCTGCAGAGGGCGAAATGTTGAGTGTCAGCATTTGAGCTTTAGCTCTTTGGGATGATCATTCCAAGCTTTTAGAAAGTTAGAAAGGTCTGCGGCGAGTAGCCCATACCAGGCTCTAGGCGAAGCATCGACCGACCTCGGCGCAGATGCCCGCATTCAGACGGTTGCCGCAGCAGTTTTGTGGTGCAGTTCAAGCGGGCAGCAGCTGTCATCGAGAAATATTGTTCCCCAAACCCCAAAGACTAGCTCATGCGACTCCCTGCATTAGGACTCTTTTATTTAATGCCATGAGCTGGAACCATCAACCGACCCGGGTCGTTTGAGAAATACAGGTGTCTGAGCAACTATGTGGATGAATCCACGTACATTCCCGAAATTCTATACTACAGGAGCCTCAAGATTTACTAATACTATTTTGAAGGTTCCTTATCATTATAATGCACGTATAATAAAGTACCCCAAGACCTCATTCGAATTGTTAAGGCCCCTATGGCCCCACATTAAGAAATCGCAAAGGGCTCCGATATTCGATTTATTCCATCGCCATGCTGCGCATCTGGAGCATGTCGGGGGAGGAGCTGGCAGAATTGCGCCTTTGCCCTAAACCCTAAACCCTAAACCCTAAACCCTAAACCCTAAACCTTAAACGGGGTTCCTTTTAAAAGGAATCCCACGGGTCTAGGGTTTCTTTAGGGCTCCCAATAAGGGCGCAGAAGTGTACTATTAGGGCTTTCGGTTGAGGGATTTTTTAGGGTATTGCAATCATGAAGACGGTCAGTGCAGAGATTGCACCCATTCGGTCTTGTCACAGCTTCATGTCTTTCCTGTAGCAGTTCACTGGACACTTAGCTTTTCATATTGGCACCCACAAAAGCCTTCGGCTGTGTTGCTGGTACCTTCCTGTCCCCATCCCTAAACCCTAAAACCTAAACCCTGAATCTGAAGTTTCGCTTGTGTTAAGCCTTGGTCATCTCATCCATTGCTTCTCGTGGTCGAAATCATCCACACCTTCACTGGTTAGGTCCGTTGCAGCCTAAAGGGATCTGGTGAGCTGTTGTTTTATGTAGTAAACCCTAAGCCCTCGGCCCTATAACCCCCAAACCCCTAAACGCGAAACCCCGGAAATCCCAAAGCTGAGGAGCAAAGACGGACTGAAGGACACCCGAGCTTTGAAAGATCAGATGCAAAGTGTCCCACGGCTTTCCAAAAAACCTTCAACGACTCCTGCACGACGGGAGCAGCCTCTTGGCTTAAAGACATACGAGCTATGTCTGTTATCTCTGTTTAAAGATGCATGAGGTTTGTGTCTTTTGTTTTCTTGGGTTTATGTTGATTCTTAGAGCCCCTCTGGTTGCACGTGGGTCTGACGGAGTCTGTGCTGTTCCGTGCCGGAAGAAGCTTAAGCCTTTGGTGCTGCCAGCAGAAGACAGGTGGTAGTTGTCAAAATTATGGTCCCTTTTGGGGTACCCTAAATAATAGGTGCCGCATTATAATCAGGAATAAGGACCCCAAAAGGGACCATAATTTTGACAACCACCCAGGTCTACAGGATTCTGCCACGTTGGATGCGGTTGTGGACGTGCAGTTGCTGTTGACGGTGGCAAGCCTTTGCCCGGACGAAGCATCATCTCAGCTCCTTTGGGCGTCCAGCCAAGGACACATCGAGTTTGTGCGCCGGCTGTGCGAACGCAAGGGATCGCAGTGGCCAGACAGCTCTCATGCGAGCAGCTCAAAGGGGCAATGCCAAGGTAGTACGTTTGCTACTCGCATCCGGCGCTGCGAAAGATTTGAGAGACAAGTTTGGACACACGGCTCTGAGTTATGCTGTTTGTGAAAACCATGTGGAGGTTGTGCACTCTTTGCTGGGGGCTGGCGTTGTGAAGGATTTGCAGCTCAAGCAAGGCAGTACAGCTCTCATTTACGCTGCTCGTGGTGGCCACGCAGAGAGTGCCTGCTTGTTGCTGCGAGCTGGTGCCGGAAAGGACTTGCAGGACGACTGTGGAGCTACAGCTCTTATCCACGCAGCTGCCAAAGGCCATGTTGAAGTTGTGCGCTTGTTGCTGGGAGAAGGTGCTGAGAAGGACTTGCAAGACCAAGACGGTGCCTCAGTAGTAGAGCAGCCAGCCTTTAACCTTTTTCGTGAGCTATCATCCATATGTAATCCCAAAGGTTAACCTTTAGTTTCCCCAGGATACGGGACAAGCAAGGTGAGACAGCTCTTATGCACGCTGCCAGCA